ATAAAAGATTTCAGTATTCAATAAAAAGAAAGCATAAATCTAAATGTAATTGTAGTAAGTTAAACAATGTATCTGGTGCAGATTCTGAAATTTCATCAAGTTCTCTTAATACCAATAAAAGTATTTCAACTGATAGTAATTTTGAAATTGAGACACATTGATCCTAGTTCCTAGTTCTGTCATCCTACCCAAGGATATCTTGCACCGTACTGCTCACACAGCAGTTGGAGAGGGTTTAACTCCACATCAACGCAGAGCAATTCTTAGCAGTATTATAGTCAATTCTGGAGGATGCGCGTCTAATTTTGTATGCTCAAACTCATCTTCATACAGAGCAGCAGAGGACGCTGTGTTTATGGGTGCAAATAAATAATAACAATTCATTTTGATGGAAAAATTGTCAAAGAATTTACTGAAGGAAAATAGTTTTCAAAAGATAGGTTAGCTGCTCTTGCTAGGATTAAAGGATAAACCAAGTTACATGGAGTTCCAGCTATTGACTCCGATTCTGGAGAACACCAAAAAGAAGCTATAGAAGAACTCATTTTTAACTTTGGATTAGATGATAAAGTTCAGTGTCTTTGCTTTGATATCACAGGTAAAATAAAAGGAGCTTATAGCAGAATAGTTATGCACCTACAGCGCTCTTTGTTGTTAACTGCGTGTCGACATCATATTTGTGAGTGTCATGTTACCCATTTCTGGGAGCTTTATCCAAGCAGTCATACTTCAGGGCTAGAAAATAAATTATTCAAACTTCTTAAAAACCATTTTAATAAACTTGAATGATTTAGATACTGCAAAGCAAGATTTGAAAAGGTTATCTCCGATTGGTTCCTGGATTGAGAGTAATAAATAGTTTTATTAAAATCTTTATAAATAATTCAATTAAATCTAATTACGAATGATCTAGATACTGAAAAGCAAGACTTGAAAAGATTATCAACTCTGATTGGTTCCTGGATTAATTTACAAAAGCTGAATGCAAATCAATTTTGCAGATATATACAGGGCCTATTCTAGGAAAAAAATTTGGGTGGCGGTACCCCCTCGTTCCGGCAAACTTTAGCGGAAAGTCAGCGGTTTTTTCTCAAAAATAACAATATTTGCTGTAAAAAAAAAGTCCGCAAATATTAATTTGGGCGGCACCCAAATATGGTCGGCGCTGTCGAAAATGGTATAGAATAGCCCCTGATATAATTAGCACTAAAGTTTTTAAAAAGGTGAGAGTAATAAATAGTTTTATTAAAACCTTTATAATTCAATTAAATCGAATTATTTCTTACAATTTCAAAAAAATAATAGAATAAAATAGTACATCACTTATAGTTTTTCAGTTTTATCTGAACTTTAATTTTATTTTAAGTTATTTAGGTTATCATTAATTGTTAATAAATATTGTTTAGGATGGAAAGTATCTTAAAGATTATCAAGAACTGGCTGAACTTACTTCGATGGTACTATCACCCACTGACAGATTCAAACTTCACAATCTTGGAGCTGTTCATCATGCTGGATTTATGGGTAATAGTTTATTTTACTTAAAACTATTTCTACTCATGGAAAGAATTCCTGAAATCAATGAAGAGAGCAGGGATGAAATCACAGAAATGACTCTATTTTTTACACTGAGTGGTTTCTCAGAGCCGAGTTAAGTTCAGCTGCTCCGACAAGTACACTATCTGAATAGAAGTTTGAAAATAAATATATAATTTTGAATAAATGCATGAAATAGGTATATTATTTTTATAAGTTAAACATTGATAAATTTAAGCTTTAACTATTAGGACATGAAAGCATTATGGCAGATGAAAAGATTCGAGGAATGGAGTAAAGCTGGCGTTGAAACTGTTTCTAAATCCATACAACGACATACTTGGTACCTTGATCCATATTTAGTTATTTTAGCAATTGCAGATAAGAAAATGGTGACACAATTAAGAGACTTATTAGTTTGAAACAAGGTCCCATAAAAGAATATTTCTTAGAAAGACAGGTGTTGGATAAAGACACTCTAATGAGTCTAAACTTTTCACAGGATGAGCCTCCCAGTTTAGTTCAACTAATTACAGAGAAGTCATGGCTTGTGTTTGACATGTTTGGTCATGGAAAAGCTGAGATTTAATGGATGAAGCTTCCTCCAGAGTATTGGATTTTAAATGATTTTTATCAAGGTTTTGAAACAGCCGTTATGAATCTTGATGTTGTGAATAATTGTTCAGAGAAAACAGTCAAGTTAGTTCAACAACTTGTTAACAAAGCCCATTCTGAAGAGAAAAGACAAGATATATTTCTTTTTACTCATGTATACAAGAGAAATTGAAATGGAAGAAAAAAGTTGGATCATACCGAAGCTGCACTAAATAGTATTATTTAATATCAACTTTTTGATTCAATTTGTTTTAAAACAATTGTAAATTTTTTATTTTTGTTTTGAACTGGTACTATTATTTTTTATTGTTTATAAAAAAACGTAGCATTTATTGTTTTTAAACAAATATTGTATTATATCTTATACTGCTGAGTTAGGTGAGCATGATGATGTCATACTCACCTAATGTCAAATAGCCTGCTGCCGGGGGCTTCAGTACATACATCGACTGACAAATAGCCTGACTCTCAGTGGTATATATATATGTATATATATATATATATATATATATATATATATATATATATATATATATATATATATATATATATATATATATATATATATATATTAGGGTCATCAAATTTTTGTATCCTCGGTTTCCTGTATAAAAAAGTGGTGACTTTTGTTTAAAAGTAACTAAAAATTCATTTGTTTTATCATATTATTATTAATATATATATATATATATATATATATATATATATATATATATATATATATATATATATATATATATATATATATATATATATATATATATATATATATATATATATATATATATATATGTATACAGGCCTCAGCAGGAATAAAGGAGCACGAGAGCGAAAAAAAGCTCTCCTGGGGAGCTGTGCGAGCTTCTCCTTATTTAAATCAGCGCTCTTTTTTAATTTTAAGTTTTTTATGCAACAACCGTGCTTTTTAAAAAGCATAGCACACTGCTTCGATTTAGAGGTTTTAGATTGACCTTAAAGATACTCAAGATGTTTCAAAAGCTATCAATACTTTGGGTGGGCATGAGATATATTCCATTGAAAACAAAATAAAAAGCGTTCCTTTTTTGGATTTATACGCTTTTTTAAATAATCACTTTGCAAAAAGAAATTTTAACTCAGTAGCGGATCAAGCATTTTTTGGTGTTTAGATACCAAATTATAAACATAGAGTAAACTCCAAACATTTATATGTTTATACTAGTGTCAAAACAAGGAAGTTTTGTAAAAATATTGAAATATTTGGAGCCAGGGAACTAAAAAAACTTGTAAATCTTGCCCCCTGCCCTAAAGGGGAGAGCAACAAGTTCATAATTTTTGTTATAAACTATTCTTAACTAAATTCATATTAATTTAGAAATTTCAAATTTAATGAAAAAATCTTTCATAGTTCAAGTATGTCAATCTTAAATTTGTAACCCCCTCAAATTGAGGGGGATTACAACTTTAAATGGCCGTCATTTTTGAATGCTATAAAATTATTGCACGAAATTTAAAATTTCTTTTAAAAAATGAACTTAGTTAAGAATAGTAAAAAAATAATTTGCTAACTCGTTGCTCTCACGTTTGGGCAAGGGGGGCAAAAAATTAGGGTTTTTATTATTCCCAGGCTCCAATCATCCCAATAATATGCAAAACATCCTTATTTGACATAAACATAAACATATAAATGTTTGGAATTTTACTTATGTTTGGAAGTTAGCTTTCTCAAACAAAACAAAAACACAAAATCCACCCCTTGTCTCAACTATCTATAAACTTTGAATATCACTAGAATGAAACAACAATGAGACAAATACAAAGTATTAATTTTTTCAATTATTTTTTATTCATGATTACTTCTTTATTTTACAATAATGCAATATTTAGTGTTATATATGAAAATTTTAGCAGTAAAAAACAATTGTAAAATGAAGCATTATAATTTTTTTTAAATTCCTAATATTTAATAATAAATTTAGTTTAAATTTATTTTTTTGCAAATATTTTACCAAAAGCAATAAAAATATTTTGGCTAGTCAAAATTAATTTTGTTAGAAAATTTTATTTAAAAATGACTGTTTCTTGAATTATTTGATAAATATTTGCTGATGTGTGTCGTTCATCAAACTTGAAGCATGACAAACAGAACCTCATTTGTTCCCAGTCTTTTGAAATAAAATGAACTGTCATCCCTAAATTATCATGATGAAAGTTTGACCACGTATTATGGCCAATTGATACATTTATGACTTTTTCTACCGCTAAACAATTTTTTTAAACTTATCTTTTTTATCTTAGTAATTTTTATCTTATCGTATGTAGGGTCTGACATGCTTTTGTAATATTTTGCGCTTGCAATTTTGTAAGTTGGAGCAATTAGGGCATGGTGTACCAAATGACCAGCTTCATTGAGAACTGACCGTGGTTGCGTTTCAAAAATAATCATTTCAAAGATGGACTTATGAAATTTTTTTTGCTTTTACTGAGTTTGAATTAATTTTTTTGCTGGTTTCAATCCAACTGGGCATAGTAGATTGAAGCATTTATGCTCTTTGCTTTTTAGACCTAATGTTGAAAATAGGAACTGTTCTTTTTTTGTTTTGTTTGGAAACAGAATCACTTTTTTCTTGAACATGTATGTATGTATGTATGTATGTATGTATGTATGTATGTATGTATGTATGTATGTATGTATGTATGTATGTATGTATGTATGTATGTATGTATGAATTTATGTATTATATATGTATTTATGTATGTATGCATGCATGTATGTATGTATGAATTTATTTATGTATGTGTTATATTTTTATTTATGTATTTATGTATTTTTGTATTTTTTTTTGTATTTTTTTTGTAATTTTTTATAGATTCTTACTCTTTATGAAACAAGTCTTCCTCATTGCTTGGATCCATATAATCTTGAAACACTGGGCTTAGAAAATTTAAACAATTCATTAACATTAAATTGTGCTGGTGCCCATTTTCGAATAGATCCTATTTCAATGGTAAATTTTTTTGGGGAAATTTATTAATAATCTAAAAGAATGAAGAGGTATAAAATTTTTTATTGTAATAAAAATAAATATATTAATAACAAATAAGTAAAATATAAAAATAAATAAAATACAATTAGGTGTAAAGTATTTTTAAAAAGTTTTTCTAAAGTTCTTTAAATAAAGTAAAAAAAAATTTTATTTTGTTGTATATAAAGAATCTTTATCTTATTAATTTCATTTTGTTTGGAAATGTTTTTCATCTTACTAAAGATAAAATAGGATTTTATTAAATTATATTTAGTCAAGTGTCAAAAAAAAAATTAAAATAGAAAGAATTACTAGATAGATTTTGATTATGGAAAGTAAAATTCACTTTTTATTCAAACAACTTTTGATATTTTTATTTATTCTTTAAAATTTGTTAAGTAAAGTATTTGTATGTATATATAAATATATAATATAATTTATATATATATATATAAATATATAATATAATTTGTATGTATATATATATATATATAAATATATAAAGTATTTGTTTAAAATAGTTTTTTTCAGTAGTTATTCTATATTTTTAGAATCTTATCATGTTTGGTCTCCGAGTAAATCTTGAAAATGCTGCTTCACTGGAAATTTATGAGTTTGATAAACAATGGACATTAATCAACAAGTTGAACTATAAAATTCCTGGTTTAAATTATGCTCATGACTTTTTATTGTTTCCAGATTACTTTTTGTTTCATATGACACCATTCACAGATGTTTCAAAGTGGACAGCTTTCCAGATATTAATAGGATGGAGCTCACCTGGTGAATCAATGCATTGGTATCCAGACAAACCATCAATGTTTGTTGTAATACCAAGAAAGGGAAAATCAGAAAATATAATGTTTTTTAAAACAGATCCTTGTCATGTAAGTACACCATTTGAGTTGTTTTTTTCCCTTTATGTTTACTTTTTTGTTTAATTTCTGAGGAAGAAAAAAAATCCATAAAGGTTGGAGAATTAAATTTAAAAATTAAAAAAAAAAAAATTTGTTTCTAAAACACATGCTTTGTTTCTAAAACACATGCTTTAGAGTCAAGAGATCTGAGTTTCAAAGACTACTCTGGCCATAATTATGGCCAAGTCTTCCTAGTTGAATGTTTTTCGCTTGTGGCCTATGACAAGACCATTAGGCCATCTTTAACACTCAGGCCTTCTTGTAAGTGGCGTGCGATTGCACGCCTTAGATGACCACGCATATAGTTCTTTGTTTTATCAACTTGACCACGGCTCTTTGCAAGTTTTAATAATTAGCGCGTTTAAAAAATGCGCTTAAAAAAAACAAATTTGATTTTGAATTTAATTGATTCCATAAGTACAATTAACAAAATTTCCTTAGTACTTTAATGCAACTTAATTAAAGGCAATCATTGAAAAAAATATTCAGGTTAGAGTTTAAGGCAAAATGAGTACAGAAGCTATCAAAAAATAATTAAAAACCATTTTATCATGGAAATATAATTTCTAATTAAGAAATTATTTACTCAAAAAAAGGAATTACAATAATCTTGAAACAATCGCATCTGCCAACTATTTTTTACCCCAGAGCGTGAATATCGTTTTTATTTTAATTTACGTTGACTTGTGTATCTTTATTTATTGACGAACGTCAAATTTAAGAGATTTATGTCAAATAAAGTTCAAATAATTTTTATTCTAGTTAATAAGTTATTAAATATATCAAAGATGTTTGGTAAATTTATTCAATTTTTATTTTTTAAAAATCTTTTTTTTACACATTTGCAAAGTGCGCGCAAATTGATGATAAATGCACAATAAAAAAACTTTTAAAAGTGCAACAGTTTGAATATGCAAACAAACATTATTTCACTTTATGGAAAATAAGAAAATTTAAAAAAAAGCATGATAAATTTTATTTATAATGAATACATTTGTCTTAAACTTTTAATGTAATTGTAAAAAACATAAAAGAAACCATTGTTAAATGTTATGATCGCTTTTCTCAATAGAAAGCAATCGAAATGTTTGAGCATGGTTTCTCTTGATATTTTTGCAAAAGTATTCATTTTAAGTAAAATTGTGTATGCTTTTGTAAGCGCATGCAAAAACTATGCTAAAACATAATTATTTTTTTCTATAGCGTATTTAGTTATTTTACTTAAAAGTGACGCAATTGAAAAAAGTACTTATGTTTTGGCATTAGTTTAAGTCTGTGGAATTAATTGTTTTTCATATTAAATATGTATTTTTTATAATAAATAAAAAACTAATGATGGCAAAATTAATTTGAAAGAATTTGCTGAAGTAATATGTTCATTTTGAAAAATCCTAATTAAACGGCAACGTTTGCATAAGCAAAATTAAAGAAATGTGATGTTTGTTTTTCTGTCTGTCTTTTAAGAAATGTGCGCACATTTGTCGATTTGTCGCACCCTGTATCCTATTAATTTTTTTTTTTAATTTTAAACTTGCACCACAACATTTTATTAAATTTCATGGCACTTTTAAACAGTTTAAGTTACTTACGTTTTTAAACATCAATTTCTAAAAAAATAAATAAAAATTCTGAGGGGAGGGGGGCCCTTTCCCTCACAATGGATTTGCCTTTGTATTAGCCTAATTATTCATGGGAAGGAATGATAAAGATTATTAGAGCTTTGATGATTTTTTTTTTTTTACTTTTGCTTACAATTGAGTTTACATTAATTAATAAATGTTTTGATTTTTTTTTTTTCTGGTTTTTCCTTTATTTATTTTATCATTCTTTGAATATTTTAATTTTTTAGGTTAATTTTTGTATTATATATTATTTTAAGGATTTTATTATCTTTTCAGTTTATGGATTGTTAATTTTAATTTTAATTTGCTTTGATTTTTTAAGCACATTTTTTTAACGCGCTAATTATCAAAATATGCTAAGAGCCGTGGTCACGCCTCCGAGAAGGCCTGACACTTTAACCTAAAAGAAACTAAATATCCTATCTTTTATATCTCAACTTTTGAATAGTCAACTTTCCAACTCGCTTTCCAGACAATCGGAATCATTTACCTTCTCTACTAGACTAATGTCTTGTTTCTGTCAGTGCTCAGTTTCTCCACATTTACTTTTAGGTACTTCTCATCATGGTTTGATCTCTCTAAAATCTCATTCTTCATCATCACTATCTCCCTATTAATGTACCTTTTACAACTACTTTAAAGCTGGCTGGGACTTCTTGGACTTCAGACTGGAATCTTTTATTCCATCTTGATGATTCCTAGTCAAACCTTATTCCTCTACACGATTTTCCTCTCATGGTGCTGCTGCAATTTCCAATTGTAGCAAAAACTTCCATATCTATCATCAAAACAGGTCTCCATAAAACAGACATCTGTTTACTATTGCTAAAAACCATTGTAAAAATATTTTGTCTAACGCCGAAGCCTGCTAATCTCAGGTCACAAAATCTCATATATTCAACTCACAAGTTAGGCTCCTGAGACTTTTGAAGATTCTTTAACATTGTTCATAATAAAGACAATTCTGATGTTTGTATGGTTCAGATTTTGTCACCTCACCTAAAGACAAAGCTGAGTTGTTTACTGAAAACTTTTTATCAATCTTATCTCTTGATCCCACTAATCAAATCCTACCAGATATAGCTAACAAACAGGTAGATCCATTTCTTGACATTTGTATTGCTCCAGCTTGTGTGTCTAAAGTGATTTCCTTATTAGGCTCTTCTGCAGCTTGTGGTCCAGACAACATACCTGTGTTGGTTTTTCAGATGTGTTCTCCAGAGCTGTTGTATATACTTTCATAACCATTTAACAAATGCTTATCAAAGTCTTTTTTTCCAGCCTTCTGGAAAGCGGTATATGTTATCCCTGTTTTCAAAAGTTGTGAAGAGTTATCTGACTCGTCAAACTACCATCCTATTAGCTTCTTTGAGTCTTTAATTAACAAACACTTATCTCTCATCTTGAGTCTGTTAACTTACTTTCTGATTATCAAAATGGATACCCTTCTTCTTTTTTTGCTGCTGATTTGTTAACGGTAATAACTGATAGGTTTTATTGTGCATTAGATGATGGTGATAAGATGTAAAGAGAGGTTAAGGCTATCGCTCTCAACATTTTTAAAGTCTTTGATAAAGTTAGGCATGCTGGTCTTCTCCATAAGCTCTATTCTTACGGTGAATTAGGTAACATCTTTAATATTATTTATCCTTCCTTACCAATTATAGTATAAAAGTTTTCCTCAATGGACAAAACTGTTCTTCATTTTCTATATCTTCAGGGGCTCTTCAGGGTTCTATCCTTGGCCCTAATACTTTTTTACTATACTTAATTAAAAATCTCCCAGAAATTCTCCTATCTAAGGTGGCATTGTTCGGTGATGATACTACTATTTATTCTTAGCCCGATAAGAAACCAACACTCTCTAATTGCTTTGAGAGGGCATTTGAGCTTGAAAAGGATCTCACTTCTGTAACAGCATGGTGCTCTCGATGACTGATGAACTTTAACTCAGATAAAACTAAATTTTTTTCAGCTAATCTTTATCACAACAATCTACACTTTTCTATATTTATGAACAGTATTTGTACTGGTAATAAAATGGTAATAAAACAGTAATAAAATGTACTTGATGAATCATCTACCCTTTGTCTTCTAGGGTTAATTCTTACTTCTAATCTTTCTTGGAAACCATATATTAAATCTATTGCAAAATTACCATTTTCTAAGGTTGCATCTGCTTATGCTTGCCATTTTCTTACTCCAGATTTCTTTGTGCTTGCCACTCGCCTTTCTTATTCCAGATTCTATTATTTATCCTTATAAATCTCAAATCCATCAATCTATGGAAAACTGTTGCCATATCAAAAGTGGATTTTCAAATGACGCCCTTTACTCTTTTAAATAAGATGCAAAAACGTATTATTAACCTGTTCTCACAGCCAACCTTCAACCATTGTCACATCGTCGTAATGTTGCTTCTCTCTCTTCTATAAATACTTGTAAAGAACTCTCTCTCTCTTCTATAAATACTTGTAAAGAACTCTCTCTCTCTTCTATAAATACTATTATGGTAATGTCTCTTGTGCCACCTAATAAAATTCACTCTTATGTTACTTGTCATTTAATTAAGTCTCATCATTTTATGGTAACTGATCCTAAGTGCTCTAAAATTTTTTTATTTGTCTAGTTTTTTTTCTCAAACATTAGTTCTTTGAAATTTGCTCTCTTCACCTGGTTTTCCTGATTCATATAATTTGCAATCTTGTTAGTCATCAGTTAATTGCTATCTTGCTTGATTTATTTCATCCTTTCTCTTCCAGTAACTTCCAACTCTAATAGTGGTTGCTTGCAGTCTTGTTAGAATTGAATATGTTTAAAAAAAAAAATTTCATACAAAGGTTTTACCAAAAAAAATAGAAACGAGGTTGGCAGTTTTATTGCTGACCTCAAACAGGTCGACTGTTGAGGTCAACTGTTAGGTCAGCATTGCCAAATGGTCACCTTAATTTTGATTGCTATAATTTTTATAGAAGAATTTATTTTAATACCTTAGCTTGAGTATTTGTAGCTCAGTTGTAGCTCAGTGCAATGCTCTCTGAATGATAAGGTAATAATTATCAAAGGCTCAAATCTTCTTTTTTATTCTTAAATTTTTTTTTTTAAATACAATAATAATAATTCAAAAATTTAAAACAAAACAATTTTAGCAAAAATACTTTTAATTGTTAGAAAATGGGTTCAAATCACTGAGCAACAAAACTTATTTTTTTTTAAATCAAAAAAATTTTTTTTTTAATTAAAAAATTTTTTTTTTTAATCGCTTTTTAAATAAAAGTGAACCAGTTTAGGCAAAAAGACCTATAATTGTTAGAAAACATTTGAAGAGTTTAGTGCTAAAAATACTTA